CCGCTTTGCGACCGCTTTGCGACCGCTTTGCGACCGCTTTGCGACCGCTTTGCGACCGCTTTGCACCGTTCTGCAGGTGTACATTCCCACGACCATGGTTCAGGAGTGCCCGTGAGGTCGGATTGTGGCATGTGACCTGCCCACCAGCCATCAGTCGCCCCAAAATTCAATCCATGCATATTCTTGCCTTTTCTTTCAGACATGACTTGGCAAGGCAGAACATAGCAGCGTCTCCCTAAATTCTAATCAGCGTCAAATGGGTCGGCAAGCAGAGCTACCCTGCAGGAGTTCCTTTACACTTTACACACTCGTTTTTGATCGTTGCCAAGATGAGATGCCTTTCATGGAATGATTCATTTTGAGTGTCAGTATGTGTCAGTAGGATAATCGGCAAGCAGCAGGCCATACTTTGCGTGCAAGCTGACTTTGACCATTCAAGTGATTCTGAGTGTTCTGAGACAAGCTACACGATGCACATGGGCACATGCCGCTACTCTTTGCTAATAGTGTGATTGGAAACTTTGTGATTTATGATGTGTGCATTTCGATGGAACTCCACTTTTTAACCAAGCTGACCCAAAGTCAAAGTCCACCTCTATGAGATTACCCTCCTATGATCCTGTGCATGTTTTCCACGTTACTTCATGCGGTTCTCATGCGATGTCAGCCTTTTTGGGCGATCTGAGCATTGTCCGTTCCTCATGCCTTCCACCACTTCGGCTGCTTGCAGTGCCTATGCCACTGGGATCCAGGGAAGGCCGTGGCGGCACCGGCCACCGCGGTGGGCGCTTTCTGTGTGCGGCGATTGCAGCGCCCGTCGTGCTGGGATGCTGGACAGTGAGGCGGCGAAGCAGGCAAAGCATGCGAAGCAGTGAGCAGCCTGAGTGGGTGCCAACAAAGGACTGAGGAAGAAGATCTTTGGAAGAAGAGTGAAAGGGAGATTCTGTTCATTTTGTTCTTTGTCAATTTGTCGAGTTTGAGCTTTCATGTTGTGCAGAACTTGAGCAGAACAGCAGAATGGGACATCGGGCCCTCCAGGACACACTGTCACATTTTTCACGTCAATCGCCGATTGTCCTCCAGTCAAGAGTTGTATCAACAAGCTATGGCATTGCTTAGCTGCTTTGCTGTCAGCATTTGCTGGTGATGCAAGTTCTTTAGATTCGCAATCATTCCCAAACCGCCCAAGCCTTTTAATTAGGTGGTGATCGTGGTAGGCCTTTTAGATGGTTATGCGCAAGGAAGTCTTGGCAGAGCTGGCCTCATCTGAGCGTCCCATCGGCCACTTGGGGCACTTGGCTGTCACCGACATTTGTGCCGACAGTGTCCCTCCCAATTGGACTTCCGTTTGTTCTGGAGTGGACTGCAACGTTGCTCGTTCAATGCCCTTTGCCTTCTGTTTTTCTTGAGTGTGCATTGTACAGCTCGTCGGATGTGTCACATCTTTTTGTGTGCCAAGGCTACTATTGCTTGAGGGAAGCTGACAGTGAGACATGCACTATTTGCGAGCTCCGTTCACCCACGAGCTTAGGCTGAAGAACATGACAATGATAGCAACAAAATTGAACAAGGGGTCGAAGCGGTTGTGGTTGTGTTTGATGATCAAGATGTACGACATACTTCAGTTGCATCGCAGATGTTTTGTCCGAGAAGCTCCAAGTAGACTACCGCTACTGTAGATTTGGTCAGCCCATCAGTTTGTGAATGAGACAAGATTGCCATGGGGCCATGAGTGTGTCGGGCATTCTGCAGTCCGTCACAAGCACAAACAAGAACTACCACGAGCCAACAAACTGGGTTGTTCTTGGAAAGGGTGCGCATGTTGAACCATCTTACTGCAACTCAGTTGTCAGTTGCCTTGATTGTTGTAACGTCCTCCGCCTTTGGATAGAAAGCCTTGACCGTTGAACAAGCAAGAAAAAGAACGTGCCGAGGGAGGCGGAGAGACGATTTCATTTGAAGATCAACGGGGAGGTTCAGCGCTTCATGGTGAATGAGCTTCCCTTCTCAGAGGGCAAACTTGGAGGGCATCTCGGCAGAATCTTTGCTTTTGGCAGCTTCAGATTAGTGTAGCTTTCAGTCCTGATGGGTTGACAAGCACAATAATATATATATATATTATATTATATATTGGCCGTCCGTTATTGCCAGTAAAGGAATTTAGATGACATCTTAAAACAAACATTTCGTGAAAGGGAAACTGCAGTCCGCAAAAGGCCGGCGATAGGACGGCGAAAGACATGCGCCAACCTGGACATAATGTGCCACCTATATATATATATGAATAACTATGACACATCCTTTTCCCGAGCAGAAACACGGATTTTCGCGAAAGGGCTGCGAAAGGCCGGCGATAGGCCCGCGAAAGGGCGCATTGCATGGAAGGGCATTTGCCCATCCATGGCCTTGAAACATTTGCTTCAAGTATGGATTGACAAAGGGCAGCCTGCTTCTCAGCGCACCAAAAGTATTTAGATATCCTAAACGCTGTGAACATTTGTGAATTCAGTGCAATGGAATAAGCTCATCACAACACGCGAAAGGAAACCTGTGTTTTTTTTGCAAACGCGAAAGGGCCGCGAAGGCCGACGATACAAGCCAGAAAAGAAGAGCTTTGTTGGACAACCCCCATATATACCTTCGGCTTCAAGTCTAAGGCACCTTTGGGACGGTGGGATCCTTATGTCCGCTTGGTGCTCTTTGCCGGCAATAGTTTTGATGGAGTATACCGTATACCTCTAAATAAAGACGAACCAAGACCAGCAGATGGAGGGACTAGCGCAACTTGAGAGATAGGCTGCTCAAGCCAAATCTCTCCCGAAATCTGACTGGACCCTACTAAACATAGTAAGCCAGTTACTAAGTAGACTAAGTAGACCTTACCTTCCTCTGCAACCGGTTGCAATCTTTTACATTGAGAAGATATAGTTGATCTTCAAGCGCCCTTTTTCGGCTCGGAGGCGCATCGCACGAAGATCTTTTTGGAGGTGAAGAGGTCTTGGAGCTGGGCTCAGGCGGGCTCAGATGCCAAGGACCAGGTATGGACAGAGACGAAAGATGAAAAGTAAAATGGACCATTGGGGCCTCTCGAAAGGGAACTTTAAGGAGAACTTGATATTTGTGTTTTTCCCATTCATTTCTTCTTTTTGTTTCCAGGCAAGAGTCCGAAACCCCGGGGGGCAAGTCCTCGCCCCGAGTCACACACGTTGATGTCCCATGAGCCAGGGGTTTCGCCAGCCTCTTTCCACTTCACAAACTCTATCAGAACAAAAAGCATCAGCACGGAAAAATGCGTGGGGAATGCTTTGCCTGAGCACTAAATTACTAAAATTAAAGAGGCCCTTGCCTTCTTGTCCCTAAACATGTGTTCTTTGACCTACTCAGGTCCAAAGCTGGGCACCTCTCTTTAGACCTTGTCGGAGCTTCGAGTCGTTGTAACAAGTTGTAAGCGCGGACCAGAGTGTCCGGCATGACATCGACTTGAACCGATGTGCGAGAGGTAGTAACAAGTTGTAAGCGAACAGGACTGACACGTGTGCAGGACCGAAAGGGTCACTCCAAAAGGGAAGAAAACCTGGTGGCTATTGTTGCTTCTCCCAATAAGAGGCCCATGGATAACACGCAATTGTTGACCTCACTGCAAGATCCACTATTGTTTATCAACATCACAAAATCCTGAGATGTTCCTCAAACACCTCAAGAACCCGTCCTCAAAACAAACATCGCAAGTGACTCTGTTCTTGCAAAAACAACTCGCTGGGGTGTTCTCAGACTTATCGGCGACCGTCGCAGGCATCGGACTCTTGGGCATCACTGTGAGCTGTCTGGCCAGCTCGGTTGTTCTCTCAGACTTCGGCCCGACTGGAGAGGAGGATGGAAGACTGGTGCCTCCAGGATCCCAGAGATCTGCTTGAAACATGTTTTGCCCATCTTTAACATACATTAAACATGCTATATATAATATAATATACTTAGTTTAGGTTTAGTTATATATTTTCTACAATATGTATAACATACAATATAGTACTGTATACTATATATTGTTTTTCCAGTTTAGCATCCGGCTGTGTTATCCCCTGCCGGAGGCTGGAACTGCTGCATTACTTTGACAGAGTGGTTGGAAATCAAGACAGCAATAAAAGGCATATTGCCATCTTTAGGTGAATGGCAGCTGTAGGTGTTTATTTAGGTGTTTAATGGCGTTCCCCGTTGCAAGACGGATCTCGCACTTTTCGATCAACAAGCACATGTTGGCAAGCAAGCTACGTGGTTTAACCCAGGCTTAAGGTTCTTGGCGTAGTCATCTACACTGGCTAACATTGCAAGACAAGGCAACTACGTTTAATTAGCCAGGGTTGCATCTAAGCACCAGCCATCACCTGCCCACCTGGCACAAACAGACATAAGCGAATTCCAGGCTGCGCCCTTGCTGTTTGATCCTGTTTGTTTCTGAGTCTGTTGTTGGCAACAAAGGATTGCTGGACAACTTGAAGCTTGGCCAAGCTTCAAAGTTTTCTTTGCACTTTTTGTAGTCCATCCGGCTAAAATTAGGGCTCACTGCAGTTTTATTTACACAGCGAGCCCAAGTAAAACTAAAGCATCATACAGTCAGAGTGGCTGCTCTAAATTGCTTGGCGGATGAATGAAGCATAGCATTGGGATGACCGACTGGCACAGGCGCCAGAACGTTGTCCTGAACAAAATTACAAATGCAGAGGCACAGTCCTAAGCATGCAGTGGAAACTCATTTGCTTGGATGAAACTACAAGTACACTTCAGGGCGGAGATTGCTGTTTCCTAGCTATATACTATATACCTGTTTCATCCTGTTTCCTTCGGGTTCAAGTCAGTCTTTGAAAGAGAGCGCACCACAACTGCCAGCATTCTCCAACTTGCAGGTCAAGCACATCGACTGGCATGACTTCCTTCACATCTCATCCGCCGCCACCTTCCGCCGCCTCATCGCAGCGGACCCGAACGAGGGCAGTGCAGGAATTGTGCAGGGCTACTAGTAGCTTCCTTGCTCCTAGTGGTGATGCCCTTTGTTCTTAGTAGCTTCTTGTTACTAGTAGTACTAGTAGCTTCTTGCTAGGATTGAAATGGGGAGGAACCTTGGGGAGTGCATTCATTGCAGACCTTCTGCACTCAGACCCGAACCTGCAGTCACGAACCTTCAAGGGTCTTCTTGAAAAAGCTGCTGCTATGTGAACATACCAAGACTAGCTGTGGTAGGAAGATGTTGGACACACCAAATCAAGAGGAGACTTTTCGATCCAGCCGATACAGACCAGGATGCAAGTATTTGATAGAGCCATGGGGCTGGTCCTAGAATCGCAAGCATCGTCAAGACTCAGAAGCTCGAAAGAAGGGGCGGCAAAATGGCAGGACGTGGTCTACTACTCAGCAGACTTACCAGCCCTGGCTGCCACCATTGGCGCACATTTGCAGTTTGGCCAAAACTCGTTCGACTCGTTCAGCCATGTTCAGCTACAAAAGATTGCAAAAGTGTCAGGGGACCTTGGAAGACCGTATTGAACACTTCACGCACGTGCATTCGCAACTCCATCGAAGTGGAGTCGCCCTCCAAGACCTCCAGAAGATAGATCAATATGTTGCCTTGTGATTTAGAATAATGTTCATTAATTATCTATACAAATACAGTGGAAGCACAATCTTGCCCAAAGCCAAGACACCAAAGCGCGCACAAAGGAAAGCTACACGTTACGTGTGGGACACGTCTCAAACCCAACTTCATGCCTTCGCCCACCCGATCAGCTTCAGGCCACCAAAGTGCCAAAGACCATCATCAATTAAGTTTATTTGTCATGCAAAGAGGTGCGCAAGCGGATAGAAATGACTTAGATCACATGGTTCAAAGGGACTCAATGTCTATTTGGTGGAACTTTACAATTGTAGGTCTTCTGTAGCAAGCGGTTGAGCTTGTATCCGTGACAATATGTGACAATTAGAATCAATTAGATCCATGTCGGGTGATGAAATCCATGTCCATGCCATTTGCGGGGCCATCATCCGGCAATGCCAAAATTATCCACCCTGGATGTTCCGTAGTTCCTCACGCCCGCACGCCCATGTCGCCTTTCCAACATCCACTTACTGAAGAGCTGCTTGCCAGATCTCATCCGTTATTGTCAGCACAGGTGGTATAAGAAACAGTGCAAGGTTCTCTCAGTTCAGGGGCTTTCCTTTCTGAGTTTCTTCCGGGATGATGTACTTTAGTCGTTGGAATGTTTCCTCACTACGACCTCTACGACCGTCAGCACTTACCGCCTCACAGGTGTGAAGGAGGCCGCGCCGACATCCTAACCGTGCGCCGTGACTGGCGTGGACCTTTGGCCTCTGAGCGCGCTACTGCGGAGGAGCAGTTCATCACGCACCTGCGGGGCGATGTGATGAAGATTCGGCTTCCAGAACCAATAGCTAGAACTAATTACATATATAACCATATATATATATATATATTATAGTTATATGTATTTAGATATTCTCAATAATGCTCAATAGCTGCTCATATTCCCAGTATTGTCCGATAATTTGTAAGCTCTTGTTTTGACATCCGGATCAGCTCGCCTTTAGGCGATCACACAAACCCTCACCCACAAGCATGCATGATACTAGGTTGAGGTTGAAGTGGTGGTTGACATAGAGCGCAGTTCTCTTTTGTTGGTTTTCTTGCTTTTCCCTTTCTTCTGCTGCTATGAAACGAGAGGTTAGACCCAGCCGGTTCCAGTTGGATTCCGCTGCTGGTGTCCCTCCACCTAAACACCGCCGTTTGGTGTTTATTTCTCCTTTTGCTGTTAGCATGGAGCCACACCAGGTTTCGACCGTGCCTCCTGCTCAAGAGCGCCAGCAGAAGGCTCCCCAGCAGGTGGCGCGCCAGGTGACTGCTGCAACAGGAGTTGGGCTTGCTGCCAGTTCTTTGCGAATGCAAGAAGATGCGAAGCGCAAGCGTTTGTCGCATGAATGGGCTATCATGGCAGAAGACTTGCAGGCAGATAGTGATATCCTATCATCCTTTCCCAACAAATCTGGGGTGAGCCTTGCCTTCTTGTTTGAAGACCGTGCTGCAGGTACACTCGCCAAGCATTCTCATGGTTGGCGCAAGTGGCTAGAATTTGCCCGTGCATCTCATATTAACCCCGGTGATCCATCCAGTTCTGCTGTGCTGGACTTCTGTGATGCCCTTTCCGTTGGCTCCTTGTCGGATAGGGGGATGCAACGGGTTAGTGCAGCCAAGGCGGTGGTGCAGGCTATGAAATTTGCGGGGCATAAGCTTGGCCTTCAGAAGCTGCTGGCTTGCGTAGATAACCCTGCCATTGCAGCATGGCTTGCGCAGGACAAATGGAAACCCTCTCTGTGCAAAGAAGCTATACCTCTACCTTTGACAGTGGTGGCCTGCAAAATTGCAATGAAGATGACTGCTGGATCATTGGCTGCTTACTGCTCATGACCTGGGGTGGGCTTCGGTGGAGTGACGTGCAGCGCTTGCAGTTCTCTTCTTTGTTACTGCGGGATGGTTCTGTGCGGGGTTATTCCTGGCGCGCGAAAACATCAGCGCAGGGGATGGCTTTCGGTGTTCTCGTGGGGGGAGCGACAGGTAGTGACTGGGGTGTGCAATTTGGGCAGCGGCTAATGCATTGCCAACAGTCGGACCCTGCGCGCGATTTTCTGATGGCCAGCGGAGGCCAGCCCATGGCTTATACGTCAATGCTTGGGCAGATGCGGCGCTGTCTTTGCGATTACGCAGATCTTTCACCTGAAACAGCGCGGCAGTTCACACTGCATAGTTGCAAAGCCAGCATGCCAAACACTTGCATCAAAAAGTATGGGCGGGACGATGTTTGGCCGCAACTATTGAGCCAGAAGAAGGTTTTGAAAAGGATTGCATGTGGGTGGTGCCCGCACGTGCCGCTAAGCAGAGGTTTAGGGTCTAAGTCCTCGATGGAAGATGCAACTGTGCTAGCATCTTTGTGCAAAGACTTGGACCTCACTGACTCTGAGTCTGATCCTGAGGAAGCATGCAGCGGTCCTTCTAGTATCCGCGATGCCTCATCTGACAGTGATGCGGGTGAAAGCGATGCAGGGCATGCAGATGAGACGACGGAGGAGCTTGAGTTTGCTGGACCTTGGCTGCTGAACGCGCGCACAGGATGGTATCATCGTGCTGCACACCACAAAACAGACGGGGTTGATGCAGACGAGAAGCATTGGAGGCTGTCGTGTCGGCCTACAGCGCCCATTTCTGATTGGTACGAATTGCGACGTACAGATCCAGGTCTTCAGGGCTTTCAGCCTTGTGGTCATTGGGGCTGCTTCTCCAAAAAAAGGATGAAAATGGGGCCGTCCTTGGGGTGGAAGACCCCTCTTGTTTAATGGGTGACTTGCCGTGTTCACCTTTATTTGCCGGAAGGGCGTTTTCATAGGCGGAAGGCCTTAAGGACCCAAGCGTTCCTCTCTTGGTGGTGCCCTGGACTTGCCGTGTCCAAATGGGGCCTTCCTTGGGGTGGAAGACCCCTCTTGTTTAATAGGTGACTTGCCGTGTTCACCTTTATTTGCCGGAAGGGCTTTTTTATGGGCGGAAGGCCTTCAGGGTATTCTCTGTGGGGGCGCAAGGCCACTGTAGCTACAGGTACTTGTACCATAATTGTGGAAGTCTGGTGAGGAGCCTTGAGCAATGATTGGGATCTTTCTGCCTTCGGGGCTTCAGCCTTCAGTGTCTCTGGCCGCTTTACCGTTGTGAGCTAGATAGTTCGTGGTCATTCACGGCTGTCGAGTTTCTTGGTTGGTTTATTCTTTTGCTGTTTGGCATTATGTCTGCTTCAGCTTAGGAGAATTATATGGTGACTGCCAAACTTCCGGACGAAGTGCGGTCCAAGCTGGTGGAGCTGGGTTTCGACACAGAGGACGCATTCCAATCCAAGGATGATGCGACCTTCGAACAGTTTGCCAAAGAATTTCTCATCACAGATTTGAAATGGGCGGGGGTGACAGCCGACAATTGGTCACACAAACCTTTGGTGCAGAAGCTGCGCGGTCTGTGGCAGCGTGTTGGGGGTGGGGGGGTGCCAGTACAAGCCCTTCCTGTATCAAATGCGCTCGTTCCGGCATTGTGCGCTACACCACAAGCTGGCAAAGTCTTGACAGTAGCCGATCGTGACAGGCTCCGCAGAGAGCTGGAAAAGAAATACGCTGGATGCCTGGTTGAATTGGAAACTTTGCCTGCTATGAATTTCTTGAGTATGGTCAAGAACCAACATGACAACAAGGCTTGGGACTGGGTACCTTGGAAAAAAGTGCTCAGTGAAAAGGTGGCCTCTGCTGTGAAAGAACGCAATGCGATCGCATGCGTATGCGATGGTCGGATCTGGGCATCTTGGCAGTTGGGCACTATACAATAATTCGAGGTTCATGAAATTTTACACCAATGAACCCGGCCCTCACTTCCGATTTTGCACAGCGCAAGAAGCGGAAGAGGCCGACCAATGTGCTATGCGAGAAGTGTTTGGACTTTGCTATGCTGGAGCTAATTTGGACGATGCGCTCAGCACAGTGGCAATTGATCGGGATATGCTCCGATCCTTGCTCATGCCCCGGCTAAAATTGGAGAAGCCGCTAGACCGCGAGCCATTGAAGCGCAAGAGACCTTTTGAGACGCAGAAACCTGGGGGCGGCGCAGACAAGCGCAAGCCGACCGGTGAGTGCTTCAAATGGATTGCTGGGGAGTGCAAATTGCGTCAGTGCAAGTTCAAACACAAGTGTGCGGCATGTGGCTCTACAGATCATCACTCAGCAGTGTGCGCCAAGAAGAAAGTCCAGTGACTAGGTGAAGACCAGGCTTCTACGCCCTATGTGGCAGTGGCAGTGGAATCTTCTTCGCAAGTGCCGAAACCAGCCCCACCCATCCCTGCAATATCCACCCAGTACCCAGTAACAGGGCAAACGCTTGACCCGGAGTCAGGGCCCCCTAGCGTGATGCTGCGTGATGGGGGTGGCATCCACTCCACAGCTGACTGGTCCGAGCCACGGGATGTTGATCACGGGCAAGAGCTGCGACTGAAATGGTGGTCTCGCATCATGGATTGGAGAATGGGGGGTACCTTGGGAAAAGAATCCAGGGTACCAACTAGGTTCCCGGATTCTTTTTGGTGGATTCATTTTTTGGGATTCTTTTTGTGCCAAGGGTATGGTCAGGGTATGTCGGGGGTATGGTCGGATTCTTTTTTGAATTCCATGATCGAAAAGATCTGCGCGAATTTAGTTTCCAAGCGCTCCCACAAATAACAGTTCGATAGTTCACTGTGGTAATCTGTGGATGTCTGCGGAATACTATGTTTATTTCTATATGTTTTAATGTGTTTGTTTGTGTGTCACATACTTTCTTTTCAGAAAGAAGCAGTGTTCTCAGAGCCGGTGTCGCTTGAGTTTGGGAATTTTAGGGGTACAACCCCAGTGTTTCCTTGCAGCAGTACAGGTCTGTGGGCTGTGGCTGCCACACATTTCCGGTTCTTGCACCCAGGGTAACACTGTGGATCACCGTGGTAATCCGTGAGAGACAAAAGGAGGATCGCTTCATATCGCTCCTGAGAGTCCAAGATTGAACTTCACTACTACGTATTACGATTCTTTTTGATATTTAAAGATTCCAAATGTCAATCCACATCCAGATTCTTTTTGGGTACATATGTGCAGCCATGTCAGAATCTTTTGGAAAAGAATCTGATGGGTCTGTAGGGGGGGGTATCTAAGGCCCCTCCCATATTGGAGATTAGTGGCGCGCCTGGCATGCCATGCGCAACAAAGTTCGCGGGAGCCCTTGCTGAATGAAGGGGAGATTGAGCTGCTTAGAGGCGACTTGGCATCTTTCCTGACAAAGCAAAAGTGCTCTTCCAAACAGACATTGCATGTGGACAGCCAATTGCGCTCGATTTGCTGAAAGGGGTCTTGGAACTGTGGGCAGACATTGACATTGACCTATGCGAACAGTTGAGCATCGGGGTTCGCACTGGCGTTTTGGAGTCAATCGAAGCCTCTGGTGTTTGGAGAAAAGTGGATGTGCCATCAACACCTCCTTTAGAATTATTACTGTGTACTTCACCCTGGCAGTCCGGACTGGACAAGCCGGAACTGTTAGAGCAGCTGATAGAAGAGGATGTGCAGGAGGGCTTTGCGGAATGGATCAATGGTGATGAGCGGGACGTCCGGCATCATCCATAAACCTGGCTCAGCCCCCAGGCTAGTTGGCGACAGTACAGTCTCAAACGTGAAGAAACTCTGCAAGATTCGTGGAAAAATTGAATTGCCAAGCTTATCTAGCGTGGCCTCCTTCGTCTCCCAGCACCCCTCCCAGAGCTGGGTACCCTTTAGCCCAGACTTTTCGAAGGCACACAAGCGGGTGAAAGCGCACCCCTCGGAACAAGGGCTCAGTGTGTTTGCAGTGAGAACAGCCGCCGGCGTGACCCGCTGGGCGTATTACAAAACAGCGCATTTTGGTTGCAGTTGGGCATCTTATTGGTGGTCGCGTCTTGCAGCGGCCTTCATTCGAACAGCGCGCCGATTGCTTTTCCATGCACACTTCCTTTGTGTGTATGTGGATGATGTTCTTGCATTGCTGCCAAGACGAACAGCAGGTGAAATGGCGTGTGTTCTGATTTGCCTTGCGGCTGCGCTGGGCTTCCCTCTGTCTTGGCATAAACTAGCTTTAGGCAATTGCCTACAGTGGGTAGGCTGGCTTTGCAATTTTGAGGGGCAGCCTATGGCCGCGTTGCCCAATGATAAATTGCAGCTCTTCAGAGCAGCGCTGCGTGACATTTCCAAATCACCTCAACAGGTTTGCCGGAAGCAGCTGCAGTCCCTGGTCGGGCGTTTGGTGTGGTACACAGCAGGGGCACACTGGCTGCGCCCATGGCTGCAAGTATTTTTCTACGCTCTCAATAAGCCACGTCTCCATTTCTTGAAGCTGGACTCTTTGCAATTGCAAGCACTCAACACACTTCTCAGCCCGCGCATGCGGGTGCAGCAAGCAGGGGCTCTGTCAGATGTGCAAGCAGGATGGGGCCTTCTTGAAATTGGTGCTCGTTGCGTACATTCCCCAAAAGAGGCGCTGGTCGCCCCCCACAAAAACGGCTTGCCTTGGGTCAAATTCGGGGAGCCCGAACCCTCCACCATCAAATTGTCCAAAGATGAATTGGCAGTGGTGCGCTTCTTTCGTACAGTGCTGGACAACCATCAACCTTTCTCCTTGATGGAACAATTGGGCCCCGCAACCATTGCTGCTGCTGATGCTTTTGCGGAAGGTAACGAATGGGGTATTGGCGGCTGGTTTCTACCCCCGGGCTCCAACCTGCATCCAGCAAACATCTACTATTTTTCAACCATTCTTGAGGGGATGATCTGCCCTCCTGGTTCTTCCCCCCACACAAAGAACGGAAAGTGCAGTTGTTCATTGCAGCGCTGGAAGCTTTGGCACAACTGGCTCTTTTAGATGGCCAAGTGGAGCAGTTCAAGTTGCAGGGTACAACCAATTGGATCTCCTTGCGCCAGCAATGCGACAACGCTGGGGTGGTTGCTGTCTCACAGAAAGGACTTACAATGAGACAGCCCTTGGCGTCAGTGCTTCAAGCAATGGCAGTGTACGCAGCCCAACGGGGCATCATGCTCAAAATCTCGCATGTAGCAGGTATTCGCAACGAATGGGCAGATTGGCTTTCTCGGAAAAGCGGGCGCGAAGAATTTTGGACGGCACTAGACCCTATGAAGCGCATTCATCCCGATTGGCACGCGCTGTTAAACCTAGGGCAGTGCTAGCCACCAAGGAGGCTGTTCCTGCTTGATTTCCGAGCACGCTTTGTTTGGGATGCCTGTGAGGGGCCAAGTGCTTGGAAGGACCACGTCTTGTGTGGTGGAGTTATGGGGGGGCTCTGCTGCAGGTGCTGACCTGCCAGCCCTGCAGCATCCCCCCTCTGCCTGGCGGTCCTTCCAAAAAGGCGTGCTTGGAGAGGGAGGGTTGGATCAGCTCGCCTTTAGGCGATCACACAAACCCTCACCCACAAGCATGCATGATACTAGGTTGAGGTTGAAGTGGTGGTTGACATAGAGCGCAGTTCTCTTTTGTCCCACCCTCCCGCCCTAGTTGAAGAGTCTGAAAATCACACAGCCCAAGTGCTGTGCCTGATGGAGTTATGGGGGGGCTCTGCTCAGCCCTGCAGCATCCCCCCCTTTGCCTGGTGGTCCTTCCAAAAAGGCGTGCTTGGAGAGGGAGGGTTCTTTGCTGCATTGAGGCAGCCAATTTTGAGTGCCTTTGCCGATGATCTTCGGCAGGTTGTTTTGTGGCCGGTAGTTTACTTGAGAGGTGCCACAGACGTGTCGGGGTTCACATGTTTTGCAACCTTGGGGAAGTCACTTAGCTTGTCAGGGGAACCTTCAGCAAACCCAACATGTTGCCATGAAGGGCTGGAAGATGCCCCAGACTCGATCTTCAGACTGATCACTCGTATCTTTGGTGATTGGGAAGGACGTTGAATTTCAATGAACTTTTAACCTAAGCCTGCTGCCTTCGGCACCTTCTTTAAAATAGCTGCATGTTTGTCTATCAGGTGTTCAAATCAGGCATTAGCCAGGACCACCTGGATAGTACAAGACATGCCTTTTCACGAATCGAACCATGCTTGGCTGCCTTGCAGGACCTGGCAGCGGCCTTGACAGTTTACGGTCATGTCACTGTCACCGAGCTTCTAGGTGCCGAAAAGGGTCAACAGTGGTCAATATGGCCAATGGATACAGAACTGCAGAGGTGCGCATGGTATTATCATGTATTGTCCTCTCAACATGTGAATAACACGGTGTCTGAAATCATCCGAAACTATTGAAAGACATGGAATAATATTTGTCCGAATAGTCGTACTTGAACTGTGTCTCCGCGACGCATACTGTGCTAGTCGCAACGGACCTGCTCTAATTGCGACCATCTCTCAACCCTTGAGACCTTGGGACCTTGCCAGGCTATTGCTGCACCTTTGAGGAAGTGCCCTTGGCACTAATCACCTTGACTCGAGACTCAAGAGTGGAGAGCCGAGACAAAAGGCAACGTGGTCGAAGGGGGAGCTGCAGTGGTCGAAGCAGTCCGATGAAGAAAAGTGCCGATGCTGGAAGATCATTATGATTCATAGCACAGCAACCGACCTTGGTGGGGTGGCCTTTACAGCCAATAGTCAGTTCTGCATGTTGGACGGCCTCATCTGATGAATTTGGGTGTGGATGAAGTGCCTGTCAACCTTGGCACATTCTGGCCCAAACTGGTCCCAAACTCACAAGTATACGCAGACAATCAGTTAGTCATAGTTAGTCGTATCAGCAGACCAAGCGGCTACTGCAGGACGTATTGGGCAACATCCCGCAGGAGCCCGAGATGCTATTTTTTTCGTCTGCCTGGCGAGGTTATGATTCTGCTGCTCCGCAGGTATCTTGCTTGGTTGACGTGCTTCAAAGAGAGTCAACTCGTTTGGTCAATCACCTTAGTTTGGTCAGCCAGTTGGCTTTGTGTTGAACCTGCGGACAAGGTGCTGCCTATCCTCATTTTGTTTTTGACAAACAGCTGAACAGTCACTGAATAGTGGACTCAGATGTTCAAGGCTTTTGTACATGTTGTTGTAAAGTCTAAATTTGATGGTTTGTTGGCCCCTTATATCGAGCTGTGGCTTTGTGCCAAGGGCATAGCCTTCTTGGAAAGCAAGTTATACAGTTATAAGTTACATAAACAAGTATATCAATTATACGATTAGAGGGGGGACATTTGCCTGACATCCATCAGCTGACAGGCATGATCTGCGAATGCCGGAGCTGGATTTGCTCCTTGGACTTGCGCTAGTAACCTCAAGATTCCTTGGATTTGCTCCTTGTATTCTGCACATTCCTAGAGCAACTGAGGATTTTTTTTTGTACAATATAGGTAGAGGAAATGCAAGGCAGGCACTGTCTGTTTGGCAGCTTGAGCGACTGTCAGCTATTGAAAGCAGCAACTGCTCCAACCCCCAGACAATTACTGTGCACAATCCATCCGTAGTAAGGACACAGATCAAGATTCTGTATGATAGGGTTTGCCTTTTCTAGATCTCCAGATTTCCACCTGGCAGCTTCTAGGTTGAATTGCCACCCTTTGAACGGGCGCAATGCTACAGAGCAAGAGAGCATTCAACTGCGTGGCCACCTCAGGATTGGGTCGGGATCGCCGTCATAGTGGTACAGTGAGGCCATGCTTTCAAAAAGCCACTCAACAGGGTAGATCGAGGCTGATCAAGGCAGCATGGAGTTGAGTAGTTCTTGCTGCAGTACGGAGTCTTCCTCTGGTGGAGGGATGCCTTTTTGGGGCTCCAAGGCATCACCAGGCTCCTGAAGAAAAGAAGAAGGGCACCAGTAGTGGTGGCAAGAAGAAGGGCCACCGTAAGAAAAGCACTGAGATCCTGAATGTCCCTCAAGCTGTCCGAGGATCCCGGCAATTTCAAGCACTGTTGAGAGGGAGTCAGGAATTTGGCGAGCTGGGTTTGTTGATGAACAATGACCGGCTCTATAAATACCTCAACCAGTCTTCCCTGTTTCTTTTTCAAGCTTGGAGGCCATCACTCTTCGGTTGGAGGCCATCGCTAGTAGGTTGATAGAGCTTTTGCTGAGGCTTCACCGAGGAGATCAAGCCGGGTGTGGGCTTCTTTGAGCTCTGGGACATCGAGGACACCACAGGCGAGACAAAACAAGGGGAATGAGCCTGGTGGCTACCTGGCTGCTTTTTCTCAAAGCACGCAGAGTGTTTGCAGAGTCACTGGAATGACCTGTACAAGTTTGCAGGGCCCAAGCTTCGAGTGGATGTGGAGATGCTCGCAGCTGCCAATCCTGAGCACTTTGGGTGAGCCGAGGGGATCGATCGGGGATTGGTTAGGGTTGGTCAATCTCCTTCATCGTTCGAATCCGGGAGGAGGTGTTTAGGAGCATGCAGCATAGGTGCCAATTGAAATTGATTTCTGATTCGAAAACGACCAGAAAACACCTCTAAGACTCTAAGATGTGTTGGCACAAGGATTTTGAAGTTTGAATTGGTGAAGATTTCAGAGCACTTGGTCAAAGGGTCAATGATCAATGATTCGACAGAAGATCTCAGATGTCCATTGCATATGCCCATGGTCCAGGCGAAAGCTCATTGATGGCAACACTGTCAGCCTCATTCCAGATCTGCTTTGTGCAGGCAACAGAATGCCATGGAATGCAATTGTGCCGTAGCAGTAAGAAAGTTTGGGCGAATGACGCAACCCCCTTACCCTGTTGAACGCCCATAGGGGATGAAAACAGTTGACTGGGAAAGGGACAGATTAATCTCTCCATTGAAATTGATTAGGAGCAGATTTATCAGGTCCAGGTGCAGTGTACGGGTGTCAGATGGTGTCAGAATTACTGTAGATCATTTACAGTACAAATTCGTTGACTTTGCTTTGGTGCCACTAGCTATCATGAAGTGTCTCTTACAACATTCTGGGATGACAAATCCGTGCAAATGCATTATTTATGTAGCAGTACACAGACAACATCACCAGGGTAGTGCAACCCACATCAATCTTACACATGTCATTAGCCATGTTTGTTTGGCCACCCCAAAAAACTGATGGCTACTGGCTGCCAGGTGGTTGTCAAGAGCTGGAGAGTGGCATCACGTGACCTGGAACAGCCCAAGGGGTCGGAGGGCAATGCTGGGTCCAGAGGATTATATAATATCTCGGAGGATGACAGAACCTTTTTTTAAGGCCGGAGGGGTGGATAGAGGAAGAGGTAGCTAGTAGCTTGAGTAAGCTTCTAGGTAGGTTTTCACATTACCCCACACAAGGAAGCTCGCACTAATGATGTTGTTCCCATATTTGGGGAAACTTGATGCAACGAGACGGGAACATTCCAGACCCCCACATGTATCCAAAAGTGTATGTCAAAAAGGCATGATGTTTGATCCAGGTCTTTCGAAGGATCTCCAAGTGGGGTCTTGATGATGGATGCTGATGTGCAAAATCACTGCCTGCCAAGCTCATGCATGCTTGGACCATGCATTCGGCCCACCCAAGATCCTAGACCGAACATGTCGGAGCTTTGGAGGTATCGAGCAGTCACGGGATCTGAACACAGAGTGGGCTTTCTGACCCAATCCCAAAATCGGGACCGTCATCGTTCCACGTGCTCGTGTGAACATATGCAAGGTACTTCCTCATGACCAGCAACGCAGGGGTGGTCTATGACATGATGGACAATCCTTTGTGCCTTGGCTCGCTTACGGAAACATGCTTGGAAATCCGTTTGTTTTGAGTCTAGAGTAGAAAGAGGGATTTGGATGGATTTGGTGGAGCATTCATTCGCCACGCTTTTGCTGCAGGGCAACTGAGGAGCATGGACATGACCAAATTTTATGGAGGTATGGATGATTGGTTCACAACTCCGATTCCAATTGATTCTATAACATTCAATTATAACCCTATATTATATATACCTGGGTCTTCATAAGTATGCATTTTTTCCGCCTTTTCAATCAAAACTGCTTTTTCAAGCAAACGCCAACTATTTTTGTACTGAAGCACTTTTTGCATTGACATGTTTTCGATGGTATGTTAAGGTTTTGATACGGCGACTTTTCCCGACCAAACGGCGACTTTCCCCAACCAAACGGCGACTTTTGCCAACTGCTAGTTTGGTAACCTCTGTAAAAAACATCGAAACGTCACTTTTGAGATGAAACGGCGTTTTTTACGGCAAACGACTGAAATTTGTGCTGTTTCGCCAAACGGCAGAAAAAACACACCCGTGGAAGGTCCAGGTATAATATATATATATATATGTAACTCTATGATAGTATCTGTATGTATCTATCGTCTCAGAATAAGTTCCATGAATGAACTCCATGGAGCGCAGTCCGAGGCCCATGCTGGATACGAATCGGTCAAGGTCATGGAGGCACTTGGGGCATCCTCTACATGCAACCATGGAGACTCAGATGCCCACCACGTACCTCGTTGTTTATTGATGTTTATTGCCTTGCCCAGCAAACTTACCCTTTGGACCCGACAATCTGATGGACCGGATCGATTTCTTTGCCAGATGTTGGTAGGTGACATAGGAATGCAATGCATTGACGATGTGAAACACACGACTGAGGGCTTGATTACTCTTTTCAACAGAGTCTTGTTTCCACCTGAAACGGGTATGTACCTTGCACACAGCAGAGAATTCCAGAATTACATGTTCCCAATATCTGTTGATGGCTTTGTTGTTCAACTAACTGGCCTCCACGGGTTTTACAAGAAACCAGCTGACAATGAAACGATCGGGCAAGACGTAAGATGCCCCGGCCACGTCAGTTTCTATGTGAACGAGAACGTGACCAGGGCCCCGGAGGTCTCGACCTGAGCAGTGTGGAGAACTTGATCTTTGCTTCACAACATCCAAGGTCGCATGAACCGCTCCTATTCTGCTATTCTGGAGGTGTTTTGAAGCATCTTGTTATAGGTCGCGAGGTTAAGAAAGCCAGTAGCCGCATTTCCCAGATTAGGCTGGTCCTTTTGTCAGGACTCCTCACGGAAGATCGCAGAAGCTTCCGCCGAGGTCTTACGCACCAGCTTTGCGATCAACTCAACTGAGGCTGCAACAATCTCAGGACAGTTCCTTGCGGCCTTTGCGGTCCCTTTTCACCATTTTGTCCGATGGACATTTATCAAGTCAGGATGGATGTTTATCCATTTCCACGAATCCCCAGCCCAGTTCTTGGCTTGGACAGCATTTTTTTGTATTGGCCTGACCAACTACACTGCCACATGCTTTCTGAAACTGGGTGTTGTCCGCTGTTCCGAGAGAGCTATATACATTCTTTCTGCTGCATGGAGAGGTTTGAAGGCTTGCCCCTGCTTTTTACATCCACTCAGCTTCTAGCAAGCAGAGACAACATTTTGAGCTTTGTACTGTAAGTTTATGTAAGGCATGTAAGGGTTGAGTTGCGGTTGTTTATGTTACGTCCGAGGTCACAGAGGTTCATGGATATCTCTACTTCGCACAGCGTGTCTTCCAGAATGGCTCTGCACCCTATCGGCAACAGCCGGGATGAGTGGCGGAGGTCCTCATGTCCAATAATATTTGTACATGGCCGTCATGTTTGCATTTGACCGCTGGCAAACTCCTTTGCAGGTTTAGATCATCGAAGTTCTAGATATACTAGTAACAAGTGCATCACTACTAGTAACAAGGGCATTACTACTACTAGCAAGAAACTACTAGTAACAAGTGCCCAAGGAGAAGGTGCCCAAGGATCCAAATGTGCTTTGAAATACCTTGAGGGAACAACGGCAAGCAAGACGCGTCTGGCCCAGCTACCATGCACAGCCAAAGACAGCAGGGACAGATGCAATGTTCAGCGCCTTCAGCAAGATTATCACAACATGCTTTCAATGCTTTCATGCAAGAGAGGATATACAGTCTCATGTTCCCTGTCAGCTTTGCCAGGTTTCAAGGGTTCAACTGCCTTCACAGTTGCTGTGTAAACCTTTTGCAAGGAATGGACATCATTGTGAAACCACCTGAAAACGCCTTTTATCATACCAATCGAGATCAAAACTTGAGCGTAGAAAAAGTTTACAGTGGGGGGTAATGCTGCTGTAGAGGTATTGCTCCACTGACCAGTTTCTGGGAAACAGCGGTCTGATTTGACCCTGATCCTCAGCAAGCCGGGTGTAGATCAAAACCGCATACGGATACCTTTGCACAGGGATGAGTAGAGCGACCCAGCACTGTTTTCGCAACTGGGCTCAGTTTCCTGACACCGTGCGGCAAGCCTCTGAGATCCAGATTCAGGCGGGCTTGGGATGTGACCGGGGTGAAGCAGTGGTGCAAAGCTGAAAGGAATTGCGAGCAGGCAACTTTGCAGTCTTCTACAGAATCTTAGTTTTACGGTGTGAAGCCGAAGCACCAAAGCACAACTAGGAGCAACAGCTTTTCGGACAATGTTGGATGTACCTAGCCCAGCTTGTCGGTTCGAACTTGGCTAGTTGCAAGTATGGGCACCATGTAGCAGATTGTCTTCTCTTCAGCAGCGAGACCATCCGAAGTCGCTGGAGAGTGTGCTTTCAGTGCTCCAAGCACACTCCAATTTCCACCTTTAAGAACTAAACAAACTCCCTACTGTGCGGACAGTATCGGTTCAACGGTTCAACCTCACAAGCATGCCAGTTCCGCGCAAAGATCCACCAAATGCAAACACCTACAAAGACAGCTTTTATGCGTGACTACTCTCCAGATTTCTTGCCAATTCTCTCCCACACTTCAAGGTTGTTAAAACATTCGACAATGCACGCATAGCCGAACTTGAATCGACTGTGAGCTTTACATTCTTGGACTTCCTTGTCGGATAGCATAGAGAGGGGCATGGATGTTAGCCGAACCATCACCTCGAGGACTGCGGCGCTGATTTTGACTGCAGCCACTCACAGGCGAGAATCGGGCACGGGCGTGTCTTCTCCTCTTAGTTCTTGCAGTTTGGCACTTCCAATGTACTTGCATACATGACCATAGGATACCATAGGTTATGGGGCCATAGGCATAGAAGACCGTGAATACACAATGCTGAGAGTCTTTCTTTTCTTTTAGACATGACAAAGCACCATCTCCCAGCACTGAGAAGCCTGAGGTTTTTGCTTCGTTCCGAAAGTCTCGGTGGTTCGTCTCCAACTCCCCGGACTTTTTCAGTCGAAGGTTTGAACCAAATCTCGGTCCAGGAAAGGATCCAGTGAAAAGCTGAAGCCATTTCAAGACAGCACTCTTTGGTATTATCATGGTCACAGGTTAAGATATCACATGATATCACAGATATCCCGATATCCCTCTTTATATATTT